AACACAGGGCTTGTCTACACTTAAAATGCTACAGCGGCACTTCAGTGAAGGAACTACCTACGCCGTAATTCTCCCATTGACCTTGTGTCGTCTTCAGAACACCTCCCAAATCATGCTGCTGATCAAATGCTCTCCCCCTATTCAATCAAATGCTCTCCCCCTATTCCCCCACTCTTCAGTCCCCAATATCCCGTTCCTCCCAGGAATCTTGCATGTGTCTATTTTTTCCCCAATACTTTGATTACATTCCCCCAATACAAAACTGCCACCATGATTCACAAAACTGTAACTGATGTCAGGTTGCGTCTACAATTCCTTTTATCTTAGGTGGGGGTCTGATTAACTTATCCTTAGATATATTAAATGAAGGGTGAGTTCACAGCCATCAAGAGGTCTGTGATTCATCCAGTAATTAGTGCCTTTCAGTTTAAGAGTACAAGGTAGCACAAGGAAACCTTTTTGGGGGAGCGAGGAGGTGGGGGCACCCAGCCTGTAACTTAGGAACCCACTGGTCAAATTACCCCAAATTTGGATCACTAACAATAAGCCCATGCCCCCCATGAGGCACACCAAATTTCAAAGCAGTAAGAGTTACTTTTCAGATTTTACAGCACTTACAAGAGTAGAATTTAAAGCATATATATTGGCAGGAATTGAAAACCTCTAGCCATTTTTCGGTTTTGGCACATGCACACTGTAAAAATGGGCATTATCTGAAATAACACTCTCAATTCGGGTCACCCAAAGATTTCGAGAGAGCCATGTACTACCTTGGGTAAAACACCAACAGTTTGAGACCATTTTGACCCATAGCTTGTCAATAGTTTGATCACTAGCCCTGTGCAAAAATACATACCTATAAACTTTTTTTAAAATAGCTACTGGGGGCAGGGGCTTGTATCTCCAGAATCCCTGGCTCAAACGATTCCAAATTTGGGTCACTAATCCTATTCTGCATCCTCCTAAAGCACACAAACATTCAAAGAAATCTAACAAAGCATGTCAATTTTAGAGGTCTTAGGTCAACTTTTAAACAGATCTCAGGATGCAACCCTAAGAATAGCGGTGCTCCCTCACCACTATAAATAGTTATATTAGTGAGGCCTAGCTGAAATACAACTTCATGCTCTTGCCGTGATCACTTAGGCTTGGTTATAGCTTGTGCTGTCGTTAAAGAACATGTACCAGCTTTCTGAATAGAGATCAGCCAATCCTCAGTCCCAACTTTCAGCACCCCCTGCTACCTTAGTCCCAGCCTCCCCACAGATTCAGACACGGGCACATATAGACCAAGGAAGAATTTAAAATTAGTACACCAGCTAGTCCCACACTAGTTTTGAATTGAGCTTTGTTTTCTGCACCTGCTTCACCTGAGGAGAGGCTCTGACAATCACAGGGTTTCCACAGTCTTGTACCAGACAGTTTTAATCTGCACCACATTTCTTCAGAGTATCAGCAGGAACAGCTCTTTTGATCATCATAAGCAAGGCCATTCCCTTGATGGCATCAGTAGCCAGATATTGGTTGGGGCAGTAATTCGGCCAGCTGTAATCCTCACCCTATTGGTAAAGCAAACAAAATGGAACAAAGGCTACCTAGCTGCCAACCAGAAAGGGAGGAGGATGCAGATATATTTCAAAGAAATAAGAGATGAAGGAAGTGGCCCGACTAAAGAGAAAGGATGAATTGTGGCCAAGCCAATGGAGGAGGCAATTGAGGAGATCTGGGTGGGACAGTTTTGGGAAACTGCCTATATGAACTTATGAATTTCTGTATGATTTTATGAACTCTATTTTCTTATACGTCTTCCACTAAAGATGGTCACATTAGATTACATCATCCCTGTTGTGTTAAGGGGGGGTGACACATCTAAGCATCTGTCCCTGAATTCAAGTGTCATTAAAGACCATCAGTAATTGATTAACCTTGCCTTAACAGAACAATGGAGACTACTGGCCAAAGACTCTTCATTTGCTGATGACTCAACTTGCTGGCAGCTGCAGCTCAGAGGTCTGATCAGAGAATGGAAAAACCCCAGGGAAGACTATTAAAAGGAATCACTCTCACTAACAAGGAGAGACCAGAAGAGAAGACCTGGCAGGAGGAGTGGCGGGGGTGCAGAAGGATCCTGGATTCCCTTTGAGAGACACTAATACCCAAAGGACTCTCGGGAGGAAACTGAGGGCGGGACTTGAGTGCGTGTGTTTCTTATTCTTCCATAGATCTGTACATCTCTGTGTCATGTCTATGAGCAAAGTGTGTGGGCTTAGAGGTGCCTTTGCAAAGTCTCTGTGTTACTTGCTTTAACTGTCACAAAGTCCCCAAAGAGTGAAACTGTAAAGTAGAGTACACCTCTGCAGATGGCGTTCTGGAGAGGGTATGAGAGCTCTACTAGTGAGACTTGGGTGGGGGGTCCACCCTGATCTTGGGGCTAACGCTGCTGAGTCCACATCCCAAGAAGGCGTACTCACATTGGAGTCTGTACTCCAGGAACGTGCCTGAAAGGCCAGACTCTCAGACAGCATCTGGGTGTTGCTCAGAGTCAGTAAGCTTAAAACACATGGGATCCAAGGTTTGGGTCCAAAACAGCAGCCTGGTGACAGTCCACAAGGGGGAGCTCATCCTGGGCTCCAATACTGGGTTTAATTCATGGCTCTATCACATGCTTCCTTTGGGAACTATAGCCAAATAATATAGTCTCATCTGGTAAATGGGGATAATAAACTTCGATAACCTCACCTAGGTGTGTGAGGATAAATCCATAAATGCTTTGGATATGCTCAGATACTACAGTAACAGTGGCAATCTAAGTGCCTAGATGGAATCTAAATACAGGACTGGTGAGGATGGACAACCATGTCATGGAGTTGGAATCCAGATCAGTAGACAAGTTGTTTAGTTTTGCAGTAATCAGAGCACACATCCTCAACTGAGACCTGAAGGGGTCACTGGTTAATAACATGTACTGCAGAATCCTTGGAAGACGGGTGCCATAAGAACAAAAACTCCCTTGAAGTGCAGGAGGTTGACATTATACCCATTTTTACAGATTGCTAAAAACTAAGACAGACTAAGGCCACAGTTTTCAAAAATATATTCTTGTTTTGGGTGCCTCCATTTTTGGCCACTCAGTTTTTGACCTCTAAGACCCAATTTTTGGAGCTAAGAACATAGGAACAGCCAGACTGGGTCAGACCAATGGTCCATCTAGCCCAGTATCCTGTCTTCTGACAGTGGCCAATGCCAGGTGGTTCAGAGGGAACGAACAGAACAGGGCCAATGACCAATCCCTTGCAATCCAGTCCCAGCATCTGTCAGTCAGAGGCCTAGGGATACCTAGCCTAGAGCATGGGGTAAGCATACCTGATCATCTTGGCTAATAGCCACTGATGGACCTATCCTCAATGAACTTCTCTTTTTTGACTCCAGTTACAGTTTTGGCCTTCACAACATCTCCTGGCAATGAGTTCCACAGGTTGAATGTGTGTTGTGTAGAGAAATATTTTTTTCTTGTTTGTTTTAAACCTGCTGCCTATTCATTTCATTGGGTGACCCCAGGTTCTTGTATTATGTGAAGGAGTAAATAACACTTCCTTATTCTCTTTCTCCACACCATTCATGATTTTATAGACCTCTATCATACTCCCCTACCTTAGTCATCTCTTTTCCAAGATGAATAGTCCCAATCTTTTTAATCTCTCCTCATACGGAAGCTGTTCCATGCCCTTCATCATTTTTGTTGCCCTTTTCTGAACATTTCCCATTTCTAATATACTGTATCAGCTTTTTGAGGGAGCTGCTGGTGCTCAGCACTTCTGGGGGTGGAGAACAAACACGCTTTTGACAACTCAAACTGAGCATCCACATGACTGGACATTTGGGCTAAATAACTTTCCCAGTTCTGCAACAGGTTTGTTGCAGGGTCTTGGGCAATGTACCCAGGAGTCTGGCTTCTCGCCTTATGAATTAAACCAGAGGGCATTATTTCATATAGCAGAATAGACAATAGAGCAACAAAAATGAAAAAATGGGGGAAACTATCGAGAAAAATTGTTTCCCCCCCCCCCATCAAGTAAAGAAGAAATGGAGCATTCATTTTCTAACATAATAAAAAAGTAAACATTAAGAATCTGAATAAATAAGTAAAACTATATACTTGCTTAAATAAATGTGTATCTTCCTGACTAGCAAAAAGAAGCACCAAATTTAGTGTAAAGGCTGTATTAAGTGGCAAACCAATGCCTTTTAATTGTTACCAACCAATGAGAATCAGCCTCTCTTTAGGAAAATAACAAAAGTACAAATGCAAAACACAATTACAACTGATTATTTAAATCAAGGTTTCCTGCTCGCTGATTTAAATCATGATTAAAATTGGTGATTAAAAAAAAATTCACTCCACTCTGGCCTCTGCATAACCTCACCACCATTAGACCAAGCCCCTTCTCCACAGACTGTACCGTCTAAAACAGCTTCCTTGTCTCTCCACTTCTTCAAATCTCAGCTGAAGGAATCTTTTCTCCCACTTCTTAATCTTGCTCCCCTTGTTAACTCCATATTCCAAATATGCATGGAACAGTTTTATTTTATACAACATCTTTCATACATGAAATATTTATAGCCTCTCTAAACATTGCCACTGAGTCAGAGCAGCAGAGTCAGAATAAGTGTATGAAGAAACTGTCAAGAAAAGCACAGACCCCTCAACGCTGGAGCCACATTGGCAAGTGGGATTTCAATCTTCATCAAGGGGCCCAAAATGTTTCTTCCCCCCATCCCCCACCCTTGCCTTACACAGAGAGGCATGAGCTAGGTTATAAACAAGGCTATAGAGTAATTGTGGGGAGGGAGGGGTGCGCAGGGGAGAGAATGTGGTGTGGAGTGGGGGAAACAGCATATTTAGACTAGGTCTAAAACTGAGGGAGCTGCCAGTTCACCCACCATCATCACCTGCCCCCTTCTAGATTTTGAGCATTAGAGGCATGTGTTGGCTCCCTTACCTTCTGCTCCAATAGACACCAGCTTCACTCCTTTGCTAGCGATGAAATCCAGGGCCTTGTTCACATTGGAGATTTTGTGCACTCGCATTTTGCCTCTTTCAGGCTTAGCCAAACGTTCACCTAGCCAGAAAGGGGGGAAAGAAAATACAAAACAAATTCGGAACTGCTCCATTCCACTCTCCCCACCAACAGCCCAAGTAGGCAGATCTAATAAGATAATCCCAACGCTTGATTCAAGTCACACATGTTCTTGCCCTCAGCAGTGAAGATACAGCACACGATCTATTTGGTCACTTCCTGGGGATTCTAATAACACTGCTCTACAGCCAAAATGCTTCTGAAATAAATGTAGTCAAACTTTACTAATTCTGGGTCACTGAGAACGAAAATGATGCTTAAAATTGTTGACTGGCTCTAGTTTTCAAGATATGCTATTGGGTCAGTATATACGACCCTTGACTTGGGAATGGCGGAGGATAAGTGAGTTATAAAGGGAAGGGATCTCAATTTAAACCAGAAATGACTAAAATACATCTTTGACTGGATCTATGAATAAATCTATGACTGGGTTTGGACAGTACTTGCATTTTAGGCAAAACAATGAATGATGCAATCTGAAGCTGGTATTGCGTCATACATGATATGAATTGCATCATGTTATTCCTAGAAGTCATGGATGATGCAATCATAAAGAAGCTTAGATCACTCTGCTGAACAAATTGCCCTATATCAGCTCTAGAAATCATACAGTGTCGTGCTCTCTTATTTGTCAGTGTTTGATTTTGCAAAGGGACACATTTCTGTTTAGCCAAAGTGAGCAGAGATGCCTCGTACTTGTGTGAACAGTGCAGATAACTTCTGCTATGTTTGTGGTGAAGTGACTTTTGCATCACAAAAGCGCAGTATAACCACTATGGTTAAGAAAGCCTATCACCTTTATTTTGGCTGCAAAATTGGAGATCAGGACAAGAGGTGGGCCCCACACGTATGCTGCAACACTTGTGCAACAAATCTTCGCCAGTGGTTGAACAGGAAAAGGAAATCTATGCCTTTTGCAGTGCCAATGATTTGGAGAGAGCCAACAGATCATACCAGCAATTGTTACTTCTGCATGGTGCCTCCAGTTGGGAAAGGTGTGTCAAAGAAGAAAAAGTGGACTGTGCATTATCCAAACATTCCATCAGCTATACGCCCAGTTTGTTTCATAATAAATTTTATTTATATAACCCTTTTGCTGATTTTTAAAGTGTTACATAAACAGGACAGGTGAAATATTATTATGTAAAGCAACCATAAACACATGAAAAGACCTAGGTTTACAATTTATAATTAAAACTCTACTATCTACACAATATACATAGACATAAAATGCAAAAACTTAAATATCTTAGAAACAGTAGCCAATCAGTTGTTTTAATTGTCATATTTGAATTCAGCACATCAAAATACATTATAAATAGCACATTTTATCTCTGAAGCAGACGACTTCTCAAAAATTGTAGACCAGTGTAATTGATGCACTTTGCTGACCCCTCCCCACAGCAAATACAAAGAGCACCCTTGAAGAGACTGAGGGGAGGGGAGTATTACCATTACCACACCTCAGGCAGTTATTGGACTAGGCCACTCCCCAAAACCTTTGATGCATGCTCTGGAGAGCCTATCAATCATAAATTACAGTAACTGGTCTGTGCACCAAAACTTGCTTCCCTATGTACCAGGTCAGGATCTGAACTCCGGGAAGGACAGGGCAGTCTCTCATGAAACCTCTCTGCCACGGAACTCACTGCTGCCAAAGATCAGATGAGCCCAAGCCTCGCCTTTTTTAGGACACGGTGTGAGACTCATCTTTCTGCAGGCTTTGTGCAGCTAGGTGCTGAATGACCACGTCTGCATACGCCAGAAAGGAAAAATCATCTGGATTTCTCCTCTTCTGTGAGAAGCCTGTGTGTGGCAGAGGTGGGCTTGGCAAAATTTGATTATTTTTTTCTAATTTTGACAAAAATTAGCTATTTTTATTTAAGAGGTTTTTTTCTTCTATTTGTAACTATTTTTATAGTTCTGTGGAGTAGCACTGGGGTTGGGATTAGGGCAGTGCTGACAGCGGGGCTGCAGGAGGCTCCCTATATGGCTGAGGAGCCCAAGACCCCAGGGCTCAAGGTGTGGGGAGACTGTGGTCATCCTGCCCCAGCAAAGCAGAGACCTGTGGCCAGGTCTGTAAGTAGGACGATGAGCCCCCAGCTATCTCGCTGTTGAACAGTTCCTGCCTGGGGACAGTTCCAACACTCCTGGCTGGTGAGTGAGCGAGCAGGGCCCCCTGCATGGCTGTGATGCTGAATCCCTGCAGGGAAAAGGTGCCGGGAAGGCTGGGTCCTGGCGGGGCATAGCAGAGAGCTGTGGCTGCAAAGAGGAGGACTAGGCCACAACTGTGGGGAAGGCCACCAGTCTGCTGAATGGCTCCTGCCTGGGTACATTCACCAGCCAGCCAGGGACAGCGACTCCGAGTCCTCACGGTCCTGTCTGAGGGGGGAAGGGAAGAGAGATATCCTTCCCAGAACCTTGTGGCTGTGGGGATCTGGTGTCAGCGGCACCCAGTCACTCCCCAGCTGGGAACCTCAGAGCTCTCCCTGGGCAGAAACTGTTCAGCAGTGGGCTGGCCTTCCCCTGTGCCTGGGGGCTCATCCTCCTCCTTCCAATCCTGCCCAGTGGTCTCTGCTCTGCCCCATCAGGACCACTGCCTACTCTCCCCTCATTAACCCCGTCCCCCATTCCTGCTGGGAGCCTCACTGTCCTACTACCCCCACCCCAAGAAGCAGCAAGCTGAGAGAAAAAGAGCAGCAAAGGTGGGTCCTCCAAGCTTGCCTAGAAAGGAGACTCTGCAGTTGCAGTTTCACAACCCACACAGACCTGATCCTCCAAGGGCTAGAGGGGCTAGCAACAGACAATCAGGGCCCTACTTGGCCAGATAAAAGGAGCTGCCTGGGCTTAGCAGTTCAGTTTCTCACTAGGACCAGAGGAATGGTCCTCTCTGGCCAGAGGAACTTGAGGGACAACTGGAGTTTGTTTTCTGGATGCATTTTGCATAGCTGGGTTTGCAGGAAGAGAAAGGACCTAAGAATCTTAACCCTGAGATAAGGGTGAAGCTAAAGGGGCCAGAGAGGCAGAGAACCAGGGAAGAAGCAGCAATGAATTGAATCAAGCTGCGTGTGGCTGCTGTTTAGAGAGCCCCTGCGTGGGAACCTGGAATAGTGTGTCGGCCTGGGTTCCCCTCCTGGCCACAGATAAAGTGTCAAACCCCTACAGGGGGTAGGGCTTATTTGCGAGCCTGAACAAAGGGCTGAATTTAAAGAGTGCAGACCAGGGGCTGAAGACCCTAGCAAGAGCAAATAGACTGTTTATTGGACTCTAATACCCTGGAAAGGGTTCATTTGGACTTTGACTTGGCTGGAGGGGCAAACCTCTGAAGACCTGCCAAGGTTGGCTGGAAGCCTGCAGGAGGCACCAGAGGCGAGAGGACTACAATACTGCACCCAGCTGCAAGGAGATGCTCAAGAGGTGACTGCCCTTTCACGGGGAGCAGCACAGCTCTTTGGCCTGGTCCCCACTAAGCCCCCACTTCGGACTAAGGTACGCAAATTCAGCTACGTTAATAACGTAGCTGAATTCGAAGTACCTTAGTCCGAACTTACCGCGGGTCCAGACGCGGCAGGCAGGCTCCCCCATCGATGCCGCGTACTCCTCTCGCCGAGCTGGAGTACCGGCGTCGACGGCGAGCACTTCCGGGATCGATCCGGGATCGATTTATCGCGTCTAAACCAGACGCGATAAATCGATCCCAGAACATCGATTGCCTGCCGCCGGACCCTCCGGTAAGTGTAGACGTACCCTTTGACAAGAGCAAGTAATCTCTACTTGGATGGGGCTGGATCTCACAGGGAACACCAACTTCTGACTTGAGTAGAGCTCGGAGAATACTCTAAAAAAGTCTTTGGAAGATATTCTTCTGAAGTAGTTTGCTTCAGGTATATTTGTGGCCCTTTTGATTGGCTTCCTGTGAATATTCACACGATCCAGTTTAACTGGCATTCATAGAAAAAAAAAAAAGGCTCACACATGAACTCAAACTGAATTTTAATATATCCTATAAGCACTCACACCAGAAACCTAATTAGTTAGGTACATGTCACCAATCACCTAAGCAGAACTATCCAAACGTCAAAGAGAGTCACAGAGTTCAAAAAATTGCAAGAGATTTTACATTCAGAACTAGTTTTAGCAAGTTGTGGAACATCCACAAAGAGATAAAAGTGCAAATCTGGTTAAGTTATTTGTTAGTCTTTATTCACTCAGTTCATTTCTCGTTCCAAAGACTACTCCTAAGGCCCAATCCTGCACCATTTAACTCAATGGGAGCAGGATCAGACTCAATATCACTAGGTTTAATGGGGGAGGGAGAGAAGTTATTTTTTCATGAACTCTTCTGCCCCATTGAAGAAAGATGTGTTGTTTCTTTAAAAAAAGTTTGGAAAGGTGAAGGGGGAAAAGCAGCAGATTACTTCAATGGGCATTCCCTCCCTCTGCCAGAGAGAAAAATTATTTTATTCCCAATTATAATAATTGTTTCTATTATTTATTGCAGGCCTGTTTCTTTTTACCTGACAATCAAGAAGAGAGACACTCATCTTAACCCTACGGCGTAAACAAGTTTCTTTACCTAAATTACTACCGCCAACTTAGATTTAAAAAATTATCTCGCTTTTAATAGTCTACAGCAGTGGTTCTCAACCAGGGGTACAGGTACCCCTGGGGGTACGCCAACTCATCTAGATATTTGCCTAGTTTTACAACAGGCTACATAAAAAGCACTAGCAAAGTCAGTACAAACTAAAATTTCATACAGACAATGACTTGTTTAAACTGCTCTATATACTATGCACTGAAATGCAAGTACAATATTTATATTTCAATTGATTTATTTTATAATTATATGGTAAAAATGAGAAAGTAAGCATTTTTTTCGGTACTA